ATCGCAGAATAACATGTTTACTTCAAGACTTGACAGGGCGAGTGCGATAGAATGACTTCCTCACTGATAAGTACGATCTGCTACTTAGACTGTGATAGGATTACTTATACCTACTTCCCGGGCGTGGATGTAATGCATGTACTGTTCTTTCGGAAATTTTGTTTTATTAATGAGAAAAAGAGTAGGAAAAAGTGCTAATGCGTACGTCGTTTTAAAGAGATTTCTTTTACTTTTTTCTTTTTTGTTTTTGTGACTTTTTAAATGTTTGTTTTTGACTGCTCTTTTAGTAGTTTTTGTGGTAGGTGTGTCAGTGGTAGAAGTAGCACCAGAAATAAAAGTAGCAATAGCAACAGTAGTAGAAGAAACAGTTGTTGTAGTGGTAGTAGTAATAGCAGAAGTAGTAGTACTAATAGTAATAGTAGTGGAAGTAGTAGTTAGTAGTAGTAGTAGTAGAAGTAGTAGTTAGTAGTAGTAGTGGAAGTAGTAGTTAGTAGTAGTAGTAGTAGAAGTAGTAGTTAGTAGTAGTAGTAGTAGCAGAAGTAGTGGTGGTAGTAGTAGTAGTAGAAGTAGTCGTTAGTAGTAGTAGTAGAAGTAGTAGTTAGTAGTAGTAGCAGTAGTAGAAGTAGTAGTTAGTACTAGTAGTAGTAATTGTAGTAGTAGTAGTAGTAGTAGAAGCAGCAGTAGCAGAAGTAGTAGTAGCAGTAGAGCATTAGTATTATTATTAGTAGTAGTAGAAGTAGTAGTAATAGTAGAAGTAGTAGTAGCAGAAGTAGTAGTAGTAATAGTAGTAGTGGTCGTGGTGGTAGTAGCAGTAGTAGTAATAGTAGTAGCAGTAGTAGTAATAGTAGTAGTAGTAGTAGTAGTAGTAGTAGTAGTAGTAGAAGTAGTAGTAGTAGTTTTAGCAATATAGTATTAAAACCATTTTCGCGCAAAAAAGTACATGAAAAAAAAGTAAAAAAAAAAAAAAAAGTTCAAAGCTATCTCTACACAGGGTAAAGAACGCTGGCGCTGTGCCCATACATTATGCAAAACTAAACACGCATAAATCTTAGTCCATAGTATATATGGAGACTGAATAATCATCAAACCCAAATTTAACTTTTTGCTAAATTGAAAATCACACACACGCATTATACTGTTAAAAAGAAGAAGAAAAAAACATTAATCCAAGCATTCTTAACATATCTTAACAAACATATGGGAGTTTGTCGCAAAAACCAGCAAGAGGACTAGTGCTTATATAATGTAAATACCAGAGCCACCTAGCGGCAAATGGGGACATTATCGAGTCAGTGTACTCTTGTTATCAACTTAATCCAGCCTCCCGGATGCCATTGCAGAGAGGGGGTGGTGGACATAATACCTCCACCCCCCCCCCAAAAAAAAAATGAAAAGAAAAAAAAAATCAACTATCTTACTATGTATATCTTTATGTATCAGTGTATGAATGTATGTATGTATGTAGAGTTGATTATATGTATATGTCTCCTGTATGCTCTACTTTATGATATATATATATATATATATATATATATATATATATATATATATATATATATATATATGTATATATATGTATGTATATATACATACATATATATATATATATATATATATATATATATATATATATTATGTATGTATATGGACACACACACACACACATATTTATATACATATCTTTATTATGTAACTGCAGTGTTCTGATATATATGTTTATCTTTACATCTATCTCCATCTATACATATACTAATGTACAAATTTATATTTACTATCATATAACGACAAAGTACCAAAGAAATCTCACAAACACGTCTATTTTACATACGAGGTCAAAGCTCCTGTGATCCCCAGCAGAGAGCGCAGACGTGCAGTCCCTCTCACACGTAACGAGACTCTGACGGCTCTTCCCTCCAGCACCCCCCGCCCCGCTTCCTGAAATGACGTCACAGAATTAGGTAAGGTTACCGGTTTCGGTGATTGGTCAATATTTTCTCGGTCGTTCGATCTTTAGGTCTGGTTGTTATCTGCCGGGTCGAGACTTTCCGTATTTGGTCAGAATGTAAAACTGAAGCTTTCTTGGAATTTCGCATTTCGTAATAAATTGTACCTTCATTCATGCAGTTATATAATGCATATACATAAAAATGCATATGTGTGTACGCACACACACACACACGCAGGCCAGCGCACGCACGCACACATATACACATACATTCAAACGAACACACACATGTAATCACAAATATACACACGCAAACACACACACACAAACACAAAACATATTTAAACGCATATCCATACATGCGTAAACACGCGCGCACACGCACACACACGCATGTATATATATATATATATATATATATATATATATATATATATATATATATATATATATATATATATGTGTGTGTGTGTGTGTGTGTGTGTGTGTGTGTGTGTGCGTGTTTGTGTATGTGTGTGTATCTATCTATCTATCTATATATATACACATATGTAT